CCTTATGTTTTGATGTTAGGTACTGTGATGTTGTGCTATAGTATGCACTGATCTGTCATGGTGTGTTATGCTACGATATGTTTCGTCATGCTATGGTATGGCAGGCTCGGATATGTTCTGTTAGGTTGTGTGGTGTTATGCTCTGTTATGTCATAGTTTATCGTGCTGTGCTGTATTATGTTCTGCTATGTTATACTTTCGCTCTGTCATGTTGTGCTTTGTCGGCGCGGAGAGGGACACTCGGGGATACTCGGGGGACCTGGGGATCTGGCGGCCGCGGTATGCAGAGGGGCGCGAGGCGGGATTCTCGAGGATACTCGGGAGCTTGGGGATCTGTCTGCCGCGGTATGCAGAGGGGCGCGAGGCGGCTCTCTCGGTGACATTGCGGAGCTTGTGGATTTGGCGGCCGCGGTATGCAGGGTAGACGGGTCGGGAGGTTCTGTTCTTAGAATCTAACGACTCCTATTCGTCGGGTTGTGAAAAAGTCGTCGCAGTCAGCTGGCACAACATCCGCAGAGTTGGCTTCCACGGGACCCCTGAGGGCTCAAGAAGTCGCAACTATTCCACGAGAGGGCCCCCTAAGAAGGGCCACGCAGTTCAGCAAAGGATCCCAAGGCCGCCCAGGGGGGCCACAGAGGTCTTGCCCAGCGTACGAGGAGCCCCACGATGGGACCCGAAGAGGCGTTATTAGAGGCGCGATGTGTTCTCATTCGGCCCGGGAGTCCCCATGTGTGTATACAACTCTCTTTTGCGTTTGTCCCTGTAGGCCGGTGTAGCTAATTGAGCCTGGAAGCCGTGTATTCCGACCGGGAAGCAAAGGGATATATGATCCCGGCTTCTGGTCCGGCGCCCCCCCCCCAGATGGGATGGATCCCAGGACTCTGCGGGCCCCCCCCACCCCCCCAGATGGGATGGGGAGGGGCGACGTCGCCGCCGTCGTCGTCGTCGCCGTCGGCGTCGTCGCCGCCGTCGTCGTCGCCGTTGTCGTCGTCGTCGTCGCCGTCGTCGTCGTCGCCGTCGTCGTTACTCCCTCTCCCCCTCCCTCCTCTCCCCTCGCCCCCACATGTCTTCTTTGCTCCACCCCCCCTGTCTCTTACGCTCTCTCTGGAACGAAGAGGCGGAAAGGGAGGCAGAGGCATACGATGACGGCGGCGAAGATGACGACGATGACGATGACGATTTTTCTCAGATCGCAGACGCAACCTCGGAACGCGCCCCCACCACCCCACACCCACAGGCCACAGGCCACACCACACCCACGGGGGGGGGGCCAGGCCCATCGGGGGCATCAGCATGGTGGGGGGGAGGGGGCGGGGGCTCCCGGGACCTGGATCATATATGTATGTCTGAATTCCCCAAACGCGGCGCGCTTGCATTTAGGAGTTCTCGCTTCTGGTCTCAGGAACTGAGCCTGTCTGGCGGGTTTGCGGCTATGTTGTCGCCGTCGCCGCAGCCTCGTCGCAGTCCGTTTTCGGGGTCTGCCCGGCGGTCTGGCGGCTATGTTTTCGCCGTCGTCACTTTGTGGCCGCCTCGTGGCCGCCCGTCGTCTGGGTCTGGGTGCCGGTCTGGCGGCTCCGTGGTCCACGTCGCCGCCCCGTCGCCGCTCAGGTTGCACCACGTATATTTCACTACGTACACTGTGCCACATGAGTTACGCAATACATATTATCCATTCTGGAAGAAGTTAAGACCCACCACCCCCATCTCGGAATTACTGCTCTCCCTTGGGTCATTGCAATTTGCATACGATGATGTTCCATTGTTCATCTCAACTATGGATTCATACCATCCCAGCTAGACCCCTTTTTATCGCCCCCCTTCCCACTCCTGTCAAATAGTTTTCTGCGCGCACGCCCGTTTATTAACCATCTTCCGTTTCCAAGTGCTCTGTTGCACAAGATTTGGGCAATGTCGACACGCACGCGTCGTCGCGAGTGCACGCCGGAATCCTCAATCGAGAGGGTGTAGGTGTGTCAAAATCGAGGTTCCCGACAATACATTACAATTTATTGTTTTATAACATCAAAAATCAATTCGTCTGCGCGTGCGCCCTTGTGAATTCGTCCGTCTTTGATGAACATGTCCATCAATTACGTCCAAGAGGCTTCTTCGCACGCACATGTCGAAGTCTTTCGAGCGCCCTTGCGCGTTTGCTGGTGGGGGGGCGCACGAACCTTGTCAAATATACTCATGCGGGCCACTCGCCCGCATCGGCAGTGCCCGCGTGTCGAAATCCGTCCAAAACCTTCGTCACCGACGCGTGGACACCATCATTGTCATCGGCGTGGCCAACATTGGCGCTGTCTTTGGCCTTGCCGCAGGCACCGTCATCATCTTCACCAGCATCGCTTACCGTCATCACCGTGGCTGCCGTTGTCGACGTCGCCGCGGTACTGCTCCCGCCCGTGTCACCGATTCGCAGTGAGGTGCCCGCGCGCTAGCGCGGCTTGGGCGACTCGCCGGGAAGTCCACATCGGTGAGTGCCACCGCGGCCGCGTGTTTTATGCCAAAGTGGTCGGCGGCTGTGCGCGCGAGAGTGCGCGCGCCAGCGGCGCGGCCGCAGCGACGCGACAGCCAGCGCCAAGCACTCATCGCAATCGCAGCGGCCTGGTTTTGCAAACCAAGCTGCGGTTGGGTGCGTGGGATGACTTCGCGAGCAATGAAGTTGTCAACCCGAACCTCTTGAACATGAGTGGCGCTACGTGTTGTCATCTCCTAAAGAGAAATTTGGATCTACCACCACCTCACCCCTCGGGTTTACCGCTTCCCTTGGGCTATCACAGGAGGTTCGATTGTGCCCCATCGCTCAGCTGACGTATGAACTCGTTCCATCCCAGCTGGGCCCGGTATTGCCCCCCATCCCTGCCAACACGTGTTATGCGAGCACGCTTCGTTTATCACAAAGCATCGGTATTCCATACCCAAATAATCCATTACGAATGACACGGAACGACATCGACACGCGCGCGTCGTCGCGCGCGCATGCCGGAATTATTCAGAACCATCCGTTTCGTAAGGATTTCAATGTCGAGGCCCCCGAACACCTATACAACACAGTTGTTGCAACTTTGTCTTCGCACAAAAAAAAATGCGCGCGCGCTCTTGCGGATTCTTCTGTGAACCACCGGTTTTCCAACACATCCATCAAATGCGACCCAGCAGGCCCCTCGCGCGCGCATGTCTCTCGTCGGAATCTTTAGATCTTTGTCAAACTCGTACCATGCAGGCCATTCGCCCGCGTCGGCCGCACGCGCATGTTGATTTTTCCCAAAACCTTCATCACCGACGCCTGGACACCGTCTTCGTCATCGGCGTGACCAGCATCGGCACCGTCATTGGCCTTGCTGTCGTTATCGTCTTCGCCGTCACCATCATGGCTACTACCATCATCATGTCTGCCGCTGTCGACGTCGCCATGATACATCGCCCGCCCGAATCGCCGAGATGATCTGCATTGCCCGCGCGCCAGTGCGGCTTGCGAGACAAGCAGGGAAGTCTCCAGCGGCGGACTCCAGCGGTAAGCGCCAAGGCAGCAGCGTCGGTCGCGTCAAGCTAGTTGGTGGCTCTGCGCGCGAGCTTACGCGCGCATGTCGAAGTCCAGACAACGTCTCAACCGCCGACGCCTGCACACCATCATCGTCATCGGCGTGGCCACCATCGGCGCCGCCATTGGCTTTTTCTGCAGTCGTACCGTCCGTGCTATTTCATCGTCATCGTGGCTGCCGCTCTCGACGTCGCCATGGTGCATCGCCCGCCAAAGCCATCGAAAATGCCCGTCGTCATCGCGGCCTGCGAGACGCGTTGGGGACTCCCCAACGGTCAGTGCCACCGCGGCCGCGTCGGCCAGCTGGCTTGCTCTGCGCGCGGGCCTGCCTGCGCCAGCGCGGCCGCAACGGTGTGCCAAGCAGCGCCAAGCAGACACCGCAATCGCCGCCTTATGGCTTTTGCAAACCAAGTTCGGGCGACGAAATCTATACATATCCATTGTTCCCTGGCCAGGCCCATCCTGAACCCAGGAGTTGTGCATACGCCCTCCTGGCCACGCCAGGAGGGCGCAGCGTATACACAGCTGCTGGGTTCAGGATGGGCCTCGCCAGGGAGCAGTGGATATGTATAGATGTCGTCGCCCTACAAGTTGCGGGTGGGCGGGCGGGGTGCTTTCGCGACCAGCGGGGTTGACAGCGTCGAGTTCGTCAAGAACAGTTGCACCATGCAGTTTGCACCACATGGGTATCACCACGTCGAGTGCAAAACCTAGATTGCATTACGTAGGTTCCACACCAGAGGTTGCACATCATATATATATATATATATATTGCACCACGGCGGTATCACCACACATGTTGCTCTAAGTAGATTGCACATCATATCCCATTGCAAACAGAACGCTTGGGGTTCACACCGCATACATTTGTCCATTTTCGACAACGCACGACGCACGACGTACAGCATGATTTCCCTCCACTGAGCTGGGCTGAGTTGTGCTGTGGGTGCATGAGCCAGACCGGGCTACATTGGGGTGGGCGGGGATGACCGTTTGGGGTGGGCTAGACTGAGTTGTCCTACCACGCTAGCTCTTCGTTGATCGTTCACCGTTTCCCCCCCCCCCATCTCGATCTCCTCGGTACTGATTCCTCGATTCTCTTTTGCAGCAGGTTGCGCCAGCACGCTGAAGTAGCGAAAAACACCCTGCATCATCAAACCACGGAAGCATCAGCGAACGGCAGCATCACGCAGCACGAAGCAGGCAGCAGCAGCGGCAGCGCAGCAACAGCCAATGATCAGTAGTGGGCACCAGCACGCACCAAGTATGATTCGCCATCAGCAGAACACGTCAGCCCAAGGCGGAAACAATACTAGCAGAAAGTATTACAAAACAGTGCGACAGCGCGCAACAACTGCAGCAGTCAGAGGTACACAACAGCATGCGGCATGCGCGGAATGCGATGGTCGAGCCCCGCGATCTCATTCCAGCTTGATGTCAGCATGGCCAGAATCACATGCCGGTTCGTTCAATGTTTGTGGACGTAGCGCACGGGTCAGCCCTGGTCAGTTACAATGCTGGGATCAGCGCGTGCGAGAAGGGCGAAAAGTGGCAGGGTGCTCTGGCGCTTCTCAGAGAGATGTGGGAGTCGAAACTGGAACCCAATGTCATCAGCTACAGCGCTGGGATCAGCGCGTGCGGGAAGGGCGAGCAGTGGCAGCGGGCGCTCGCGCTGCTCAGTGAGATTTGTGTGGCGAAGTTGGAGCCCAACGTCATCAGTTTCAGCGCTGGGATCAGCGCGTGCGAGAAGGGCAAGCAGTGGCAGCATGCTCTGGCGCTGCTCAGCGAGATGGGGGAGGCAAAGCTGGAGCCCGACGTCATCTATACGACAATACCCGGCATTATGCATGTCAGAAGTGCCCATTCTGTTTTCCCGGGGCGCGGTGTTTCCGCGGTTCCGCCACAGGGGCGACGCCGTGTTGGCCTAAGGGATCTCTAAACTTTGCCAAATCAGACGCTGAACAGCCCAGAGCTCCAAGACGGCCCCAAAGGGGTAGAAGAAAGACTAATGACGCCCCAAGGTGGCCCAAGATGACCTCGCGACGGTCCAAGGGGCCCCAAGACGGCTCAAAGGGAAGGTTTGGGAGGGCCTTCGGGTGCGAAATTCATTGATTTCCCTTGGGTGTTCGAGTGATTCCCGCTTGCTTGCTTGTTCGTCCTAGATCTGCCCTCGGCGTGTTCTACAGTTTAAGTATTAGCGTCTTGGAATAGGTGTTTCATCGCTTCAGTACTGTCCCAGTAACAAAAACTATCAACACCGCTAAACACACGACTTGTTGTTTGCGTATGTAGCTATTTTGAGCTGTTTCGGATGAGTGCTTTGCGTTGTCCAACAGTGCAGCCTACGACGACGTCCTCGGTGCCCTCTTGCGTCGAGTCCTCCCTAAGGGATGGATTGTTCTAGTTCGGTCTGTTCCTTTTGCTCACCCCTGGCCCTCGCCGCATTCTGGTCGCGGGGCCTCAGGGCAAGCTCCGCGCCGGTACGCGACCAGCGCTGGGGCCCTGCCACTGCGTGCTCGGACCCGCGTGCGGCGCGGGAGGAGCGGGCAGGCAGCAGGAGCGGGGGGGCGGCAGGGCAAGGCGGCAGGGGAGACAGGGCGCAGCCTTCGGCAGTAGAGCAGAAGACGAAGCCTCTGTTGAGTCGGGCGTGTCCTTAGTGGGCCCTGGAAACGACAGGGCAGTTTTTTACCGGTTCCGTTTTGTCGTTTTTGTTGCCGGTTCCGACGCCGTTTTTTTACCGGTGCCGTCGCCGTTTGTTTACCGGTTCCGACGCCGGTTCCAATCCTGGAGCCGTTCTTTTGCCGTTTCCGGTCGCAGTTTTTGCTGCCGTTTCCATTTTCAATGGGCATGTTTCTGGAAACGGTGAAAAAACGGCCCTGCCGGTTCCGGGGCCCGCAAAGGACGTGTCCCTCTACAGGAGGAATCTCCCATTTTCGGCTGTTTTGGGGCATTGTTTGAATACGTTTCGCTCTTATTCAGAAATCGGCCTGCAGGAGGATATGTCCGACCTTAAAAACAAATGTGATCCATGCGGAGGGCCTAAACACGCAAGAGGAAACATCACAAACACGCTAAAGTCGCGCAGCGCTTTTTGTTCAGTGTCTGCCAAGAGCCCAACGTACAAAGAGCGGTCACAACTACATCGTTCATGGCGCTTTTCTGAGGGAAGCCCCCGAGAGCGACCCGCCGAGAGGCCGCCAAGATGGCCCCACGACGGCAGAGCGGGCCAAGAGTGCTATAAGATGGCGCGAGGGGGCCCCCAAGAGCGCCATGAGATGGCGCGACAGGGTTTCTTGTGGAAGGTTCCTTGTGGACTGGCCTCCACTGTATGGGAAGATCATGTAGCGGGCACGCAGCACGAAGCAGGCAGCAGCAGCGGCAGCACACAGCAAGGGCAAGCAGCAGTAGGCAGCAGGCAGCTGGCAGCAGCACGCACTGTTCAGAGCGGACCATCAGCAGCGCCAAGCGGCCACTAACAGCAACGATACGCAGCAGCTGCAAGCAGCACTACCAGCACGCAACAGCAGCAGCAGGCGGCAGCACACAGTAGCATGCGCGGAATGCCAGGATGCTATGATGCTATGGTCGAGCCTCGTTCTCTCGTTTCAGTCGTTCGGTGACATGTCCACAACCGCATGCCAGTGCGTGCAGGCTCCGTGGACGTCGTCCACGGGTCGGCACGACAGGCCCCCCCTTCACTCGCTCCAAGAGCGGCCGACCCGACCTTAAGAGACAATGTGGTAACTTTGGGTCGGTTTTGCAATCCTTGTGCAAAATTTTAAAGTTCGTTTTGGGAACCGGTATTTTTCTCCCCTGTAGTGGCTTGTGCCGCGTCTGCCAGTAAAATTCTCAGGTTCCCGGGCACTCGGCGGGGCGCGGGCGAGACTGGACACGCGGGTGCCGCGCCGAGTTGCGCCCGCAGCGCTGCGGGCGCAACTCGGCGCGGCGCCCTTCGTTCTTCCGTTCCCCTATCTGTTCCGCCCCGCCCCCGCTCGGCGATGGGCGCGCCGCCCAAAATAAATAATTTGCCGACGAAGAATTGTTAAGGATTTTCCAACATGGCCACTTGTGTTTTTTTCCATCCCAGGTCGATGATCATGCAACCAGCAGCCTCCGCGCCCCGCTGCGCGGGGCTCGGGCGCGGGCGGCCTCCGCACCCCTGGCGCGCGGGCGGTGTCGGCTTCGGTCCGCGTCCTGGGATCGGGCGCTGGGGCCTCGGCACCCGGGCCGCGGAGGGGGCGTGCCAAGGGAGCGCTGGCAGCAGGTATTCCCAGACCCCCTCGAGTGATGAAAAAATCACGACGGGAGGTTTTTCCTAGTTTTCGGCCTCCGGGGGCCCTCACCGGGCCTCGGGAGCGTCAAACAACGATTCAGGATGAAAAACCGGTCATGGGGAAAGGGTCGGGACCTCTGGGGGTCGACGTAATGAAAAAATCATGACGTCGGGGGTCTGGGTTTGTGGATTCCCAGATTCTTTAGGTATTTTTGGCTTCCCAGGAGGTCTGTTGGGTATTTTGGTGTTTTGGGACTCCCGGATTCCAATCTCCCTTGGGCGGTATTTGTTGGTGCTTCGGGATTCCCAGATTCCAATCTAACGTAGGCGCCTTCCTACTTCAGTGATCGGCTGGCTTCCCCTTTGCTGTCCTCCTCAGGGGGCGTGCGGAGCCCGGTTTGCTTTCGACGCCTTCCTACTTCATGTTTCTGCCAATTTCTTCCGACCGCTGGATAATTTGAAAGGACGCCCCTGTGTTCGATCTCTTCGTTGGCACAACTTCCGCGGGCGCCTTCTTTGGGCCCTGCAGGGCCGTCTGACGAGAGCCCGTGGCGACAAGACGGCCCCCGGGAAGAAATCCAGGGTCCGTGGGACCGCGCGTGGAAAACATCACAGGCATCTTGCGTCGATGAACGGTCGGCTCACCTCGTCCTCCTGCTTCTACCCCCCGCCCGATGGCCAGGCAGGCGGGACGGACGAGCAGTCCGACCCAGTCGCTCCCGCTGCTCCGGGGGCCCAATTTCTAGGAGGTCACGTGTGAACCCTACCCCCACCACCCGACGATTTCTGAGGTGAGGTGGGGTTCACTTCGTTCGGGACCTCCCGAGCGAAGTGAACCCCATCTCCCCCCTTAGGAGTTGTGGGGTGGTGGGGAAGGGTTCGCATGTGGCCTCCTGACTTTGTCGCGTGCGCCTGGCGGTGCCACCTATTCCCCCCGCAAGGGGGGCCCAGTCCACGGCTCAGGCCCAGTCAGTTACAGTGCCGCGACCAGCGCGTGCGAGAAGGGCGAGCAGTGGCAGCAGGCCCTGGCGGTGCTCCTCCAGATGCGGGCGGCGAAGCTGGAGCCCAACGCCTTCCTTGCTGCTCTCGAGCGTAGAAGACTCCGGCATCGCTCGGACGTGTGCATTTTTTCGGCGAGGGCCATCGCGGAGCCTTTTGGGCCATCTTGCGACAAAGAAACAGGCACGAAACCGACACCTGCACGAGGAATGGACGTCCGAGCGATGGCGAGGCGAGCATCGGGCGCAGACAGGCCTGGAGAGCAGCCTCCGCTCGGTGCAGAGACTCCCCGCCGCCGCCTGGCCTATGCTCCCGCCGTCCCCCGCCGCAGTGCCCCCGCACTCCGTTGGTTCGACGTCCACGGGGGCCCGCTCTGGCCTATGTTTGGCGGCGAGCGCGGGCGGGGGAGCTTCGGGTTCGGTGCTCGCGGCTGGAGGTTTTCGGGCGTTCTCGTCGGCTCTCGGCGGCTGAACAGCCTCGGGGATGCTTGTCAGCAGCCGTGCCGCGCCGAGGGCGTTCCGGGGCTGCCGGGATGGTCCCGAACGGCCGCTGGAGACGCCATGGAGAGACCACGAGGTAGTGGCCAGTGGGGCGCCTTGTCAGGAGGGTCGCATGGGGCGAGTTTTACAATGTGCCTCTCCCGGCAGCATGGCGCACCGGGACGCGTCGATCGTCGCGGCGCCGCTTGCGGTCGGAGCGACGCCGCGCGTCGCCGCCGTGGCGGCGTCGGCAGCTTCGAGGCGCCGCGAGGGGGGGCCCGCAGTTTTTTTTGTTCTGATGGGGGTGCAACTCCTCCTTCCCCTTCTTCTCCACCCGCCTCCCTTCATCCTTTCCAATCCTCCTCCCTCCCTCGTCCCTCCTCCCGTACTTCGAGTCTCCACTCGCTTTGGGGAAACGTCTGGGAGTGCGAGGTTCAAGAGAAGGAGCAGGAGCAGGAGCAGGAGCAGGAGGAGGAGGAGGAGGAGGAGGAGGAGCAGGGGTAGGAGACGGAGGTGGAGACGGAACAGTGGGAAGAGGCGGAGCGAGGAGGGGACGAGGAGGAGGAGGAGGAGGAGCAGAAGGAGGAGGAGAAGGAGAGGGGCAGGACGAAAGCGGAAGCCAGGGGAACGTTCAGCGGCACACGGACGATTTTGATTCCGATGGGGAATTGTGGCTTAGCGTGTCGCTTCGCGGGTTCTGGCCCACAGCGCATCGGCGCCACACGCTATCCATGTCCCCTCTCCCAAGCGCCAGCGTCCCGAGCGTTTCGAAGCCTTCCGCCCTTCGAAGCGGAGCGGCGCGCTATCCGCTTGCAAGGTATAGCTTGTTGCCAGGGCCGCCGCCGCGTCACGCTAAGCAGAGCTCTTGACCGCACGTTTTCCAGGGGTTCTGACAGAAGAGATGCTCCTTCCGCGCTCCTTCCTTTTTTCCCGTTGCCGTTGCAGTTCCCCCCACCCCCTCTTGCCCTTCTGGCTTTACTGGATGACTTCCAGTCAGCTACAACGCGGGTATCAGCGCCTGCGAAAAAGGCAAACGGTGGCAGCAGGCTCTAGGGCTGCTCGACGAGATGCGGGGAGCGAGGTTAGAGCCTGATGTCGTCAGCTATAGTGCTGCAATCAGCGCGTGCGGGCAAGGCGAAGAGTGGGAGCGGGCTTTCCGATTGCTCCGCGAGATGCTGATGGCGCAGGTGCAGCCCAACATCATCAGCTACAACGCTGTGACCAGCGCGTGCGCGAAAGGTGGGCAGTGGCAGCGCTCCCTGTCGCTGCTCTGCGAGATGCGGGAGGAGAGATTGGCGCCCGATAGCTTCAGCTACAGCTCTGGCATCAGCGCGTGCGAGCAGGGTGAGCAGTGGCAGCGGGCCCTTCCGCTGCTCAGCGAGATGTGGGAGGCCAATGTGGAGCCCGGCGTCATCAGCTACAACGCGGGTATCAGCGCGTGCGGGAAAGGCGAGCAGTGGCAGCTGGCTCTGGCACTGCTCAGCGTGATGTGGGAGACGAATGTGGCGCCAAACGACATCAGCTACTGCGCTGGCATCACCGCGTGCGAGAAAGGTGGACAGTGGCAGCTCGCCCTGTCGCTGCTCCGTGAGATGCGGAAGGTGAGGTTGACGCCTTGCGTCATCGCCTACAACGCTGGGACCAGCGGATGTGAGAAAGGCGGGCAATGGCAGCGGGCCTTGGTGCTTCTGCGCGAGATGTTGGAGGCGAAGCTAGAGCCCAACGTGGTGAGCTACAACGCTGGTATCAGCGCGTGCGAGAGAGGCGAGCAGTGGCAGAGGGCCCTATCACTGCACAGCGAGATGCGGGAGGCGCATTTAGAGCCCGACGTCATCAGTTACACTGCTGGCATCAGCGCGTGTGGAATGTGTGGTCAGTGGCAGCAGGCTCTATCGCTACTCAATGCCATGTCGCAGGCGAAGCTGGAATCAAATGTCCGCAGCTTTAATGCAGGCATCCACGCCAACGTTCATAGCGGGCAATGGGAGCAGGCTTTATTTTTGCTGAGAAAGCTTAGTGAGGTAAAGTTGGAGCCCGACTTGATCAGCCACAACGATGCCATCCGCGCGTGCAAGAAAGCTTTGCAGTGGGAGAGAGCGCTGGCACTGTTCAGCGAGATGACGGAGGTGACGTTGCAACACCACTTTTTCACCTACCGCGCTGGGATCAGCGCGTGCGTCAAAGGTGATCAGTGGCAACGGGCAATATCTTTGTTCAGCGAGATGTGCGATGCCAATTTGGAGCCTGACGATATCGGCTACAATGGCGTCATTGCTGCATTTGCGACTGGAGCGCAGTGGCAGCAGGCCCTGTCGCTGCTCTGCGGAATGGGGGAGGCGCAGTTCTGCCCCGATGCCTTCAGCTTCAACCTCGGGATCGACGCGTGCGAGCAGGCCGGGCAGTGGCAGCTGGCCCTGGCTCTGCTCGGCGAGCTGCTGGAATCGAGGGTGGAGTCCACCCAGGTCAACTACCGGTCCGGCATCCGCGCGTGCGAGCGGGGGGGGCAGGCGCGCAGGGCCCTGGCGCTCCTCGCCGCGAGGCCGCGGGCGGCCCTGTCGCTGCTCGGCGAGCTGCGGGGCGGGGCAGCCGGAGCTCCGGCCCAGCACTCCTCGGACCTCCTCGCAGCAGCTGCAAAAGGTGCTGTGCACACTCTGAGGCGCCCCCCAGACTCTGGGGGGTGCTCCGACGGTGTTCCTCGTCGTCCGACCGTGCCTCCTCGCTCTTTTACCCCCTGCCTCCTCCTCCTCCTCCTCCCCCTCCTCCCTACTCCTCCTCTCCTCCTCCTCCTCCTCCTCCTCCTCCTCCTCGCTCCTCCTCCTCCTCCTCCTCCTCCTCCTCCTCCTCCTCCTCCTCCTCCTCCTCCTCGTCCTCCTCCTGCTCATCCGCGCCGTGGAAGCAGCAGCGCGACGGAGCGTCTCCGTGCACGCTCGGCATCCGATGGCCCCAGGGCTTTCTGCGGCGTCGGCCGGCGGGCGCAGGCCCCTGCGGCTGGCGCCGGCGCAGTGCTGGTCGCCGGCAAGACGAAAGGGGGGGATAGGGAAAGGGGGGGTTACGAAATCTGCTGCATGCAGCTGGTTTCGGCCCCGCCGCGGGGCCCATTCCTCGATACATGGGCGCCTCCGGCGCCAGGATGCGCCGGAAAAATCAGCTACGTGAGCTGATTCTCACCCCCCCCCTTTGCAATCCCCCCCTTTCGCCCGACCCGATGCTGGTCGCCGGCAAGACGCGGGGGCAGCGCTGCGTCGGCGTCACCCCCAACGTTCCCCAGTCAGTGCTTGCACCCCAGACCCCCTCGCGTGGCGAAAAGATCTCGACGGCAGGTTTTTCGCTAGTTTCGGCCTCCGGGGGCCCTTCCCGGGCCTCTGGACCGTCAAAAAACGACTCAGGCTGCAAAACTGGTCCCAGGGAAAAGGTTCCAGACCATGGGGGTCGACGTTGTGAAAAAATCACGACGTCGGGGGTCTGGGATTGAAGAGGTCCTAGCGGAAGTTGAAGGAGTTGGCGAAAGTTCCAGGCCGCCTTCGGTGGGCGGCCATCGATCCCACTATCGATCTCACTATCGATCTCACAATCGATCTCACAATCGACCTCACGGTCGATCTCACAATCGATCTCATCGAATCGACTTCACTATCGGTGTCACGGTTGGCATTGCAATCGTCCTCATGATCGATTCCATCGATCTCACAATTGATCTCAATATCCATGTCACTAATTTTCAAACCATCCACTGCGGGGGTTCTCCGGTGTCATCCTAATACTATGTGTGCGTCGCCCCCCCAGGGGCGACGCGCGCACCGAGAAATCTTGCAGTAGATGCGTCGTGGCGGGCGCTTTCTGGCCACACCGCTCGGGAAGCGATATGTTACACGATGGTCGTACTATAGGTTCGGGTCGGACGCGCGCCTCCAAAGAGGACATGTATTACTAGTACGTCTCTGTTCGAAGAAAAAACAAACGCCTCAAACATAAACTTTTGGCGCTCCGCGCGGATTTCTTGGATCCGCGCTGGGGCCCCCTGGCGGCGCTTCCGGCCGCCCCTGGCGCGCTCTGCGCACCAGGGAGGGGGTCCAGCGCACATCCAGGAAATCCGCGCGGAGCGCCAAAAGTTTATGTCTATGCCGTTTTTCTTTTCTTCTGATCCAGTACTACTGCGTCTCTGTGCGTCCCGTTAAGAGCGCCAGGAACCTCGAGACCAGTACTCCGAGGAGCACAGGGGGAGGAGGAGGAGGAGGAGGAGGAGGAGGAGGAGGAGGAGGAGGAGGAGGAGGATCGGAAACCGGAACCTATACATTACCAGTGGCGAGCTGTTTCTCAATCCCAGGATTTTTTTAGGGTCGGGGACGACGTCGGGGTGGTGTGGTGTATACTTGTTTCCCCGTTCTCCCGGGGAAGCGACGCAAGATGTAGACACCAGGAGCCCGTAAACACCAGGATCCGCTTTCCTGTGCGAATGTCAGTGCGGGGCCGGAAAACAGCGTCGGTGTATGGAGTTTGCCGCCTCCTCTCCTCCTCCTCCTCCTCCTTCTCCTCCCTTCCTCCTCCTCCTCCTCCTTTCCTCCTCCTCCTCCTCCTCCTCCTCCTCCTCCTCCTCCTCCTCCTCCTCCTCCCCCTCCCCCTCCTCCTCCCCCTCCTCCTCCTCCTCCTCTTGAGGCCCAGGTCGGGGCGGAGCCCCTCCGTGGCCGAGGCTCTCCGTGGCCGAGGCCCTCCGTCGCTCGGGGGGTGGTGCGCTCAGGCGGGCCCCGCGCAGGCCCACCGCAGCCGCGCGGCAGGGCCGCGCCCCCCCCCGGGCCAGCGGCGGCAGCCCGTGGCGGCCGGCGGCCGCCGGGGCTCGGGACGACGACGACGACGACGACGACGACGACGACGACGACGAGGACGACGACGACGACGACGACGACGACGACGACGACGAGGACGACGACGACGACGACGACGACGACGAGGACGACGACGAGGCGACGACGACGACGACGACGACGACGGGCGGTCCGGTCGAACTTCGGGCCGGCCTCGGAGGCACGCGCGGTCCGATCCGAGCGATCCGAGCCGCCGGGAGTTCAGATCGGTGGCTCGTCCTCCTCCTCCTCCTCCTCCTCCTCCTTTTCCTCCTCCTCCTCCTCCTCCTTTTCCTCCTCCTCCTCCTCCTCCTCCTCCTCCTCCTCTCCTCCTCCTCCTCCTCCTCCTCCTGCCTCTCCTCCCCCTCCCCCTCCTCCTCCTCTCCTCCTCCTCCTCACACGTCCCTGCGGATTGCTCGGGCCGGCACCTGCCCCGCCCACCCTTCCCTGCGCCGCCAGGTGTCGGGCAGAGACGAAGCGCGTCGTGGCTTGCGCATAGGCCCACCGAAGAGTGTTCCAAGGACTACTTGTGGGTTGCACGGAGTGTTCTTCGAACGCTTTTGGGTGAGACGGTTTCGTGTTGACACGTCGGGCTTATGTTCTAAGAAGATTTGTGTTCGTTTGTTTTGAACATTTGGGGGTTCTAAGAGAATTTCGCGGTAGGCCGATAGGCATGCCGTGACGGTCGGTCCTTGCTCAAAGGAAGGGGTGCATACCTTTGGGGAGCTGCGTTGTGAGGCAAGCGCGGCGTCGAGTGTCCGGGCCGGTCACCAGCTATCTGGGCGCTTTGCGCAGCAAGGGTTGTCGTAGATTCCGAACGCGAGAAACAGCACTGAACTCGATGTTCACCAGGTCGGGTGCAGAAGGAAATGCGGACGCCGTTGCGCCCTCGCTGTTGGCCGTCAAGGGGCCGGCGCAAGCGCAAGCGCAAGCGCAAGTGCAGCAGCTGCCCCGCAGTATGATCACCAAGCTACTCGCCAAGAGCCTCGCTGCTGTGGCCGGCGGCGCCGACCCGCTGTCGACGGCGCAATCGTTCGATGCCCACCCTTCGGGGGCAACTTTAGGGGGTGCATGTCGTGGGCGGCCAAAACGGGGGTGGTACCTCGTCTAATCTCAATACGTCCCTGGGCCATGAGCTGCGCCCCCCCGTCTTGGGCGCCCCCCCGTCTTGGACGCCCCCCGAGGATAGGCTCAGGGCGTCGCATCGACCCCCCATCATCGCCCACGGATCGCCGACAGTGGCCCGATAGCCCACCCCGCCCAGGCCCGTGCGGTTGTGTCACCGGGGGCTCATCGCCGATTCCAGGTCGGCGTTTCCCCCCCTGAAGCCGGGCCCCCCCCGTCGTTCCCCCTCGATTGGAGCTCAGGGGCCCTGTGCCTCAACAACTGCTGCTGACTGTGCACCTACTTTTGCGGAGGACGATCCATGGAGAGGAAGCATGATGCCAAATAACTTCCAGATGTCTACAACATGTGTTAAGCACGTTCGAAACATGTTAACACATGTTTAAAGCATGTTTAGAACATTTAGTTCCGACAATCTAAACGGGGCGCCGCCTCGCGCCGCGGGCGACGAGCGCCTCGCCGCGGCCGCGCGGCAGCGGCTCTTCTTTGCGCGGTCGTGGCGATTTTCCGTGGCCGTGCGCTGGACGCGTGGCTCGAGGGGAGGGCGCCGCCTCGCGCCGCGGGCGACGAGCGCCTCGCCGCGGCCGCGCGGCAGCGGCTCTTCTTGGCGCGGTCGTGGCGATTTTCCGTGGCCGTGCGTGCGCCGGGCGCGTGGCTCGGTGGGGAGGAGCGGCCGCGCAGGGGCCGGGCCGGGGGGCGCCGGCTGCGCACCCACGCCAGTCTGAAGTCGGGCCCGCCCCTCCACAGGAGGCACATCCTAGAATAGTCAAAAAATATGACGTGATTTTTTTTTTTTTGCATTTTTCATCCATTTGGGAATATTGTTCGAGTATTTTTGGAATTTTTCGTCGAGCATCCCCCTGTGGGGGGACGCGCCCGACTTATAACGCCAGTCCCGGCCAGGCCGAGCCGGGGCCCGGGATCGGCGCATGCACGCCCTCCTGCCTCGGCCAGGGGGGGCCCACGCTCCGAGGCCGGTCCCAGGACCGAGGGGACGCGTGTATCGGGGGCCGCCCCTCCGGCGGGAGCATGTGTCGGGGGGTGACCCCCCCCCACGCGCCTCGGGCGCGCGCGCGTAGCCCCGGCCGCGCGGACGGCTGCGTCCAACTGGACATCGAGCCGATAGCGATAGCGATAGCGATAGTATCGGGGGCGGGAAAGAGGGGGGTGATGACTAGGGTCAGAGCCCCGAATCATCAGGGGTAACTCGGGTCAGGGATAACTCGGGTTCGTTTCTCGGGAATCCAAACCCGAGTTACCCCGGACCCGAGTTACCCCGGATGAATCGGGCGTCCAAGAGCCCCGAATCATCAGGGGTAACTCGGGTCAGGGATAACTCGGGTTCGTTTCTCGGGAATCCAAACCCGAGTTACCCCGGACCCGAGTTACCCCGGATAACTCGGGCGTCCAAGAGCCCCGAATCATCAGGGGTAACTCGGGTCAGGGATAACTCGGGTTCCTGTTTCGGGAATCCAAACCCGAGTTACCCCGGACCCGAGTTACCCCGGATAACTCGGGCGCCCAATAGGGGGGGGTGGATATCATGGCGGGGGCCATGATATTTCCCCAGATTTCATGGCGCCTCGTCTTATTTCATTACGTCCCTGGCCCCCCCGCTGGGCCGCGCGCATGCCGCCGGTCATGATTTGCGCCCCCCCCTCTTGGACACCCCCCTCTTAGCCGCTCCTATCTCCGCGCGTAGATGCTGGTCCAGGTGGTTTGAGGCACGTCCAGACAGATCCGTGTGCGTACACGTCTGGAGAGTTCGTGGACGCTCCAGCGGCTCCAGCGCGAGCTGAGGGCAGGAGGAGTCGCCAAGCCCCTAACAGTACGGGGCCCCCCGGCAGTCCCGACCCTTTCCCCCGGGGGCCCGCTTGTCGTCCCGAGTCGGTTTTTCGACGGCCCGAACACAGCAGAACAGTGAAGTACCGCAGTGCCTCGGGGCTCAAGGGACGGGTTTCAGTGCAAACAGGGGTCAGTCAGAGCGCTGGGTCTTTCAGGATCCTGCAGAGCCAGGGGTGCACTGACCCGAGCCGGCAGGGCCAGCGCGCAGGATCTTGCATGATCTTGCAGGATCCTGCAAGGCCTGACTGGCCCGGGCTTGCATTGAAGACCCGGGTCAGAGCGTCCCCGAGTGTTCTTGCCCGTGGCGCGGGCATGGCCTGCTGGGCAGGAGGATCCCCCCGGAGAGACCTCCCGGAGCCCCGACCCCTGGTTCTCCTGGCCTCCGGCAGTGTCGGAAGCTGGATCAGATACATTACCAGTGGTGGGCTGTTTTTCAACCCCAGGACTTTCTGAGGGTCGGGGACCACGTTGGGGCGGTGTGGTGTATACGTCTTCCCCCGCTTCCCTGGGGTGGGCAACGAAAGATGTACACACCAGGATCCTGTATATACGCCAGGATCCGTTCTCCTGTGCGAATTCCAGAGCAGGGCCGGAAAAAGCGTCGGTGCATGGGTAGGGGAACAAAAAGTGGCATAAACATAAAAACTCGGATGTCCGCGTGGATTTCTCGGATCGGCGCAGGACCCCCCTCCCTGGCGCGCGGAGCGCGCCAGGGGCGGCGCCGGAGGGGCCGCCGGGGGGCCCCAGCGCGGATCCGAGAAATCCGCGCGGACCTCAGAGTTTTTATGTTTATGTGACCTTTTGTTCCCCTAGTATTCCTGTGCGGATTCAAGTGCAGGGCCGGAAAAAGCGTCGGTGCATGGAGTCCGTTTCCTTATGTCGGGCGTGTCCCCCTACAGGGGGATTTTCGACGACAAATTAAAAAATACTCCAGAGATGCCCCACAAAGGGTAAAACATATTTAGAAAAATAGTCCCCAGACCAGTTTTTTGATTATTCCTGTTGAGTATTGTTGGGGTATTTTTCATTTTCTCGTCGACAATCCCCCTGGAGGGGGACAGGAGGAGGAGGAGGAAGAGGAAGAGGAGGAGGAGGAGGAGGAGGAGGAGGAGGAGGAGGAGGAGGAGGAAAAAGTAAGGGCGAGGGGGGAGGAGGAGGAGGAGGAGGGGGGACGGGCCCGACTGAGCCGTTTCCCTACACGGTGGTCCCCACGGAGGCCTCTCCGGCGCCACCCCGCGCGGACGACCCCCGCCGGGTCGCAGTGCGTGGGCCGCACAGGTCGGGCGGGGCGGAGGCCCGAGCTCCGGCCCGCGGGCCTGGCGACGGGGCGCAATATCCAGGAGGGGAAAAAGCACACAGACACAATGAATCGTCGATCCCCCAAAAATGCCAGGGAATATGGGAAACCATGGGAAGGGCGGGGGAAGACAGAACCCCCCAGAACAGATGGGAAACTATGGGGAATCTCTTTAGTTCTGTCTATGTACTTGTGTGTCCCAGGGCCCCTTCAAGTATGGGGATAGTCTCAGGGGGGGTGGCTCAGGGGGGGGTCCGGTAGCAGATCATGGGAGCCTGGTATACCATCACCATTTTGTCTCTCGCGTCGAGGAGCGTCGAGTAGCGTCTGGGAGTCGATGAGCTGGCGCCGATTTAGCGTCGATTGGCGTCGATTCGCAAGAGGAAAAAAGATGGTATGGGAGGCTGCCATGACTTGCTACCGAACGAGAACCCGGCGACGAGGCTCAATCTGGGGATAGGCTCGGGGGAGGGGGTTAGAGAACCACTAACCCTAAAAACACGATGGCGACGTAGCCTCACCGAGGTCCCCGTCTTTGTATTAGGGATGATAGATGATAGTATATCTGGGCGGTTCGATTTGATACATCTGCAGAAAAGACCCCCTTATCCCTAATGTCTTTGGCCCTCCTAACTTAGGTCCACTCCCAAAGGGTTAGTGGTCCTTGTATTTGGGGGGGGGGGGCGGGTGTTCCAGAGCGTTCCGGAGCGCTCTCAGAGCGTTCCGGAATGCTCTGAGAAGGCCGCGGTGCTCGATACCGCCAGACCTCGGAGACTCTCGATTCATCCTCGTTCGAATGTGTCCTCTTCCTGCCTTCGTATTCGCAGGAGGGAATGGTATCGCAGGTGGGTCGTAGCAGTAGGTCGGCAAGTGCCTCATTTTTCAACGTCGCTGGCTCGCAGGAGGCGTTGTGCCGCCTGGTTTCCGGCCCAGTCGGACCAGGGGCCAGCGACGTTCCGAAAACCTCCTCCTCCTCTCGACCCTCGAGGGTTGAGGGCAGAGCTCCCCAGACCCCCGACGTCGTGACTCAGGAGGGGAAGAAACACACAGACACAATTCATCGTCGATCCCCATGAAAATATATGAAAATATGGGAAGTGGGGGGGAAGACAAAAAACCCCCATTCAAAAAAAAAATGGGGAAGCTTTTTATTCGTGTGTATTTGTTTATGTATTTGTGGGCCCCTGCAGTGACCCCCAGCGGGCTGGACCCTTTCCCGGGGACTGGTTTCTCATCCCGAGTCGCTCTTTTGACGGCCCCGAGGCCCGGGAAGGGCCCCCGGAGGCCGCAAATGGCGAGAATCACCTCCCGTCGTGATTTCTTCGCAGCGCGAGGGGGCCTGGGTCGGCAGGAGGAGGAGGCCGGAGGAGCCAGGGCTTGGAATCGCTCGGACGTGCGCATTTTTCCTACAGCGAGGACCATCGAGGAGCTTCCTTGATCATTTGGCGAAAAAACCACGCACGAAACCGAAAAAAACACAGGGAATGGACGTCCGAGCGATGGCCAGATCCCGAGTCGTTATTTTGACGGTCCCGAGGCCCGGGAAGGGCCCCCGGAGGCCGCAAATGGCAAAGCACCTCCCGTCGTGATTTTTGTCACAGCGCGAGGGGGCCTGGGCCGGCAGGAGGAGGAGGCCGAAGGAGCCTTACCAGCGTGGAACATATCCCTATCCCTAGGTTGGGCATCTCCTCATCACGATGCCAATCCTAGGGATTCCCTTAGTTTTGGAGGGCGAATCCCTAAGATTGTCATCGCCTGTTGGCGTGCCAATCTCAGGGACAGGGATACGTTCGAGGCCGGCAAGAGCCAAAGGGAGGCCGCCCACCGTGACGCTCCGTCGTGCTGCTTCTTCCACGGCGCGACGAGGAGGAGGAGGAGGAGGAGGAGGAGGAGGAGGAGGAGGAGGAGGCAGGGGGTAAGAGGAGGAGGCCGGAGGAGCCCGGGAGGCCGCCCACCGTGACGGTCAGCGACGGCGCCGTGCTGCACGCTGGCCTCGTCTTCCCGGAGCTGCAGGACCTCGAGGTGGCCGCCAGCCCCGTGGAGATGCCGCCGCCCCGGCGGGCTCGGCCGGCTCGGAGGAGGAGGGGGGCCCTGACCTTCCAGGAGGGCTAAAAAAAAAACACCCGACGTAAAAACCTATCCCAAAGCTATTATACGTCTTGATTTTAGGCTGTTTCGCGCAGCTTTTTGGGTTTGTAGGTTTCCAGTGCTAAAAAATAACTCTCTGGAAGGTCAGGGGGGGGGAGGAGAGTCAGCCACGCGCGGGGGCGATGGGTCAAGCAGCTGGCGAAGCGTCCTGGCTCGCCTCTAGCCCTACTAAAGTCGGGGGCGGAAAAGAGGGGGGTGATGATTAGGGGGGGGGTGGATATCATGGCGCGGGCCATGTTTTTTCCCCGGATTGCGTGGCGCCTCTTCTTGTTTCATTACGTCCCTGGCCCCCCCGCTGGGCTGGGCCGCGCACATGCCGCCGGTCATGATTTGCACCCCCCCCTCTTGGACACCCCCCTCTTGGCCGCTCCCGAGAGGAGGACGGGGGGGGAGGAGGCTCAGCCACGCGCGGGGGCGATGGGTCAAGCAGCTGGCGAAGCGTCCTGTCTCGCCTATAGCCCTACTAAAGAATGTTCTAAGAACCTTTTGTGCTTCCCACGCAATGTTCTCAGAACATTTTCGGTCTGGGCTGTCTTGTTTTACCACGTCGGGCTTCTGTTATAAGAACACTGTTTTTGTTCTTAGAACTTTTTGGGGTTCTAAGGACATTTCGTGGTAGGACTATAGGAATGCCAGGACGGTCGAGCCCTGCTCACGGAGAGTCAGCCACGCGCGGGGGCGATGGGGGGAGGGGGGAAGGCTGCTTAGGAGCAACCTCTTGCCAGGATGGGCCCTGGAAAGTTTCAGTGTACGGATTTGGACGAGGAGGAGGAAGGAGGAGGAGGAGGAGGAGGAGGAGGAGGAGGAGGAGGAGGGAGGAGGAGGGAGGAGGAGGAGGACCGAGGTTTGAAGTTCGTGTCTTGTGTGTTTTTTTCTCAAGCAGTGGCGCTTGCACTCAGGGTTGTTCCAGACGTTGCGATGGTATGTTGATGAGCGCAGCGCTGGAAATGTATGCCCCCTTCACTCAGAGTCGGCCAGCCCCCGCAGCGACCCCATGCCGATCCCCGGCGCGGCGGGCAGAACGCTCCCTCGGCAGGCCTCGAGGAATAGCGGGATGAATCGATGACCCCCTCCTGCAGCAGCAGCAGCAGCAGGAGGAGGAGGAGGAGGAGGTTACCCACCCACCCCTCCGCCTCGTCACTCCCCGTCGTTTGTTTGTTCTCCACAAGCGCCTCCTCCCCTCGCTCTCCTCCGCTGCCGCTCTCGCTTCCGTTCCGTCCTTGGCCTGCTCTGCCGCGAGGCTGGCTGCTGCCGCAGAGAGCTCTTTCGTGCCTCCGCGTCGCCGTCGGCAGGATGACGCGGCACGCGGCCCAAGGACAACTCCTCAGCTTCCCCACGTGGGCCTCCTCCTCCTCCTCCTCCTCCTCCTCCTCCGTTCGCCCCAGATCGTTATCTGACGGCCCCGGGGGACCCCCCAAACATCATACTTTTTTTGCTCGCGAGCGACGCAGGCAGCTGCGCGCCGTCCAGACTGGTCGTAGAGCGAAAGCCAGGCGCAGCGCAATTGACGCGGGCGACGCGCGGGGAAATATACAGGCGAAGCACACTGCAACGCGGCAGAGGCAGGAGCGAGCGACGACAACAGAGGACGACCCAAAAATCGTACCCCCAGGCGCTGGAAAACGAGTCGGCTGCGCCGAAGGGTGACCCCTCGCCGGAGTGACCTTGTGGGGCGGACCCACAGGGCCCCCTCCAGCACCGGCCTGCGCTCTCGGATCTGGCCGTCTCCGCGGCCCCCGCAGAGCCGCGCGCCACAGGTCACTCCTTGCCCAGGGTCACTCCTGCGCGCAGCCGACAGCGAGGAGGAACCTCCGCCTTGGTTTTGCGCACGGCGTTGGAGGTCCGGGTCCTCCTCCCGCTGGGGGGCGGGAGGCGGGGGAAGCCGCCCGAGGTCGGTGCGGCACACGTGCTTGGCCGACGGCGCCGCCAACGTGACGCTCGCCCTCGAGAGGGCGGTGCTCTCCGACGAGCGCCGGAGGGGCCAGAGAGGGGTGGGGCGGATTGGATTGGACCCCGAACCTTCGGCGATGTGGTTCCTCGATCCCGGCCGAGCCTGGAACGAGAGCCTGCCTCTGGGAAAACGGTCGAGACCTTTGGGGCCGCGCATGGAACGCAGAGCCGCGCGCCACAGGTCACTCCTTGCCCAGGGTCACTCCTGCGCGCAGCCGACAGCGAGGAGGAACCTCCGCCTTGGTTTTGCGCACGGCGTTGGAGGTCCGGGTCCTCCTCCCGCTGGGGGGCGGGAGGCGGGGGAAGCCGCCCGAGGTCGGTGCGGCACACGTGCTTGGCCGACGGCGCCGCCAACGTGACGCTCGCCCTCGAGAGGGCGGTGCTCTCCGACGAGCGCCGGAGGGGCCAGAGAGGGGTGGGGCGGATTGGATTGGACCCCGAACCTTCGGCGATGTGGTTCCTCGATCCCGGCCGAGCCTGGAACGAGAGCCTGCCTCTGGGAAAACGGTCGAGACCTTTGGGGCCGCGCATGGAACAAGTCAGCCAGAGGATGTCAGGGACGAGAGCACCTGGAGCCGTGTGGCCTAACAACTTCTGTTCACTGCGCAACTGGTGCAGGAGAAGGCGGAGGCGGATGAGCAGAAGGAGGAGGAGGAGGAGGAGGAGGAGGAGGAGGAGGAGGAGGAGGAGAGGAGGAGGAGGAGGAGAGGGATGAGGAGGAGGAGGAGGAGGAGGAGGAGGAGGAGGAGGAGGAGGAGGAGGAGGAGGAGGAGGAGGAGGAGGAGGAGGAGAGGAGGGAGGAGGAGGAGGACCAGGAGGGAGGAGGAGAGGAGGAGGGGAGAGGGAGGAGGAGGAGGAGGAGGAGGGGGAGGAGGAGGAGGAGGAGGAGGAGGAGGGAGGAGGAGGAGGGGGAGGGGCAGGAGAGGAGAGGCAGGAGGAGGAGGGGGAAGGAGGAGGAGGAGGAGGAGGAGGAGGAGGAGGAGGAGGAGAAGAGGGAAAGGAACAGGAGGAGGGGAGGGGGAGAAGGAGGAGGAGGAGGAGGAGGAGGAAGAGGAGGAGGAGGAGACCGTGTATGTATGTAGGAGAAGGAGGAGGAGGAGGACCAGGAGGAGGAGGAGGTGGGGTGGAGGAGGAGGAGGAGAGGAGGAGGACCAGGAGTTGGAGGAGGAGGGAGAGGGAGGATGAGGAGTGAGGAGGAGGAGAGGAGGAGGAGGAGGAGGAGGAGGAGGAGGAGGGGAGGGGGAGGAGAGGCAGGAGGAGGAGGGGGGGAGGAGGAGGAGGAGGAGGAGGAGGAGGAGGAGGAGGAGAGGGAGAGGAAGGGAAAAGGAAAAGAGGAGGGGGAGAAGGAGGATGAGGAGGAGGAAGAGGAGGAGGAGGAGGAGGATGAGGAGGAGATCGTATATGTAGGAGGAAGGAGGAGGAGGAGGAGGAGGAGGAGGAGGAGAGGAGAGGAGGAGGAGGAGGAGGAGGGGAGTAGGAGGAGGAGGAGGAAGGAGGGGGAGGGGGAGGGGGAGGGGGGGGGAGGGGGAGTAGGTGGAGGAGGAGGAGGAGGCATAGAGTTTAGCTTGGCAGTGGTTTGGGAAGACGCTGGCGCGGTCGACCCAGAAGCATTCGACCTTGAGAATAACATTATGCGGCACCGCGACGGCGCCGCGAACGAAGCCGCGGGGATATCCTATCAGAGGACAGACCTCCGTTAGCAAAACACCCTTTGGTGAGAACGGCCTAGGAGCAACATCTCGAAGGCGCGGACCCGCAAAAGTGTTGGCCGCATCAGATTTCCCAGAAGCCCAAGAAGGTCTTCCTCCTCACCCCCCTGGGGAGCGGGCTGCGTGCCCGCACAGGGTTGCCGGCTCAGGGACCATTGTTGCCATTCGCAGCGCGCGGTTGCCTCTGCCGTAGTCGTGATCAATTTGATGCTGGACCTTTGAGCACCATGAGTCCAGTCACTGAAACATGCAGAACGTGCTCAAACAAAAATTGGAGCCTCCCTGGACCCTCCCAAGAGTCTTTCGGGACCATCTCGATAACTTTTAAAAAGGGGCTCTCAAGTGCGACTCAGGGCTCTCATGAGCTGCTCAGGACCCTCAAAGTAGCCTCTCAAGGGCATTTTGTGTTTCATCGACCTCTCACGAGCCTTTCAGCATCGTCTCCGAAGAGTATTGTTTTCTGCTCCTGGGCGACTGCGCGCATGACCGGGGGGGAGGGGGGAGGAGGGTGGGAGGCCAGTCGGATCACATTTGGCGCTGGCGCCGTTTGGGAACGTCTAGGAATAACCAGAGCCAACTCGGAGGTCATCACGAATCGTGACGTTACCTGGAGGGGGGAGGGCGGCGACCAAGACAGGTAACGGCCGCTACCGCGAAAAATGAGCATGGTCCCATGGAGCCAGCTCAGCTCCGTCAGTCCGCAGTCCATCACATCGCCATGTATACAAGTACACATGTACATATACAGTTAAGTATGCATCTATATATATATATGAATAGTTATGTGTATGTGTATATGTAAATTTCTATGTATATGTAGATGTCGATGTATATGTACATGTATACGTCTATGTTTATGTGGTTTGTCGTGGGGCGATTCACTCGGTGGGACATGGTGTGGCACTCAAGAATTCGTTGTTGCTTTGTCGGTCAAGCATGCCGACATTAGAGTGATTCGCCGTGTTCTGGTTTACGACAAGACTTCGGAGCGTGGGACGGCCAGGAAGACGGTTTGTCACGTGCTGCCATCCTAGAACAGCAAAAAGCTGTACAGTCATCAGCTTTCGGAGGTTCGCGCGGAATTCTCCAGTCGTCGCTGGTCCCGAGAAATTTGCACGGACCTTCGAGATTTGATGTTTATGATTTTTCTGGCTCCTCAGTTTTCATGTGTTGCCAAATGCGTCACTGACACAATGCTCATTTCAGAATTTTCAGTGGGACCACCACGGACTCAAGAGCACCCCTCGGCAGCGGTTCCAAAAAGGCCAGAAAAGTTGGGGACACCTTAGACCAGGAGCAGCCTTGGCCTGCGGCAGCGCCCGAACGTTGCTACCCCCCTCTGGCCGCTCAAGAGCACGAACCAGCGCGCGCGGCGCTGACGTGGAAGATGACGTGCGGGAACACCGCCTACCGCCATTTGCACGTCCTCCTCCTTCTCTTCCTCCTCCCACTCCCCCCTCCTACGCTTCGTCCTACAATGACACAATCTGAGTACTACTCTCCTCTCTCCCCTGATGAAGTCCGCAAGGTATTCGGCCCCCCTCCGCGTACGGTTTTTTACACAGGGTTCCCGAGAATTGGGTTATCGCTTGGGTTTTTGTTCAACATGTTGCTCCCGCTGAGGCGCCGGCCTTATTTTCGGGCTTCCGCTCGTTCCGAATCGTGCTCCCACTGCAGCGCTGGCCTTATTTCCGCGCTTCTGCTCGCTCCGAATCGTGCTCCCGCTGCAGCGCTGGCATCATATCCGCGCTTCCGCTCGTTCCGAATCGTGCTCCCGCTGCAGCGCTGGCGTCATTATTTCCAGCGCCATGCCACGGCATGCAATGTAATGCTATGTGGTGTTCCGCTGTCCGATGCCATGCCTTCAGCTGCAATGTTAGGACATGCAGTGCTTGACTACGCAGTGCCACGCCATGCTATGCCATGCTACGCTTGGACCTTCAACGCCACGCTATGCCACATCATGTTCTGTGTCGCTGTGCGATGCCATTCTTTGCGTTGCAACGTTTTGTGATACAATTCTTCACTACGCAACGCCACGCCATGCTCTGACATACTACGGTCTGCCGTGCTCTTCTACGCCCTGCTATACCGTGCCCTACGATGCATCGCGCACCCTTTCGGGATCATTGCCTTGCTCGACATCCGACTGTGCGAATAGAGAGGAGATCTACGCCATGGTACGGGATGGGAGGGAGGGGTAGGACGTCAGATAGAACGCGAGCCCACCTAGCTTGCCCCTCCCCCCTCCTCCCTCTCCTGCTCCTTCTCCTTTTCCTCCTCCTCCTCCTTCTTCTTCTTCTTCTTCTTCTTCTTCTTCTTGTTCTTCTTTCTCATCCCTCATATCGGCAGAGTGCAACCTTCTCCTCCCCCATCTTCCCTTTGCCTCCCGCCTCCCTGTCTTCCCCCAGCTCCCTCCTATCCGCAGCCCATCCTGGCTGACACCGCGGACCCGGCCATCCCTCCCTGGGCATCAACACGGGCGTGGGCCGGCCCACTTTCGGGGCGGGCGAAAGGGGGGGATTGGGAAAGGGGGGGTTACGAAATCTGCTGCATGCAGCTGGTGTCGGCCCCACCGAGGGGCCCATTCCTCGATGCATCGCCGCCTCCGGCGCCGGGAGGCGCCGGGAAAATCGGCTACGTGAGCTGATTCTCAACCCCCCCCACTTTGCTATCCCCCCCTTTCGCCCGACCCGACACTTCTCCGCCTGCCCCGCCCAGCCGAGGGAGCTCCTACACGTGGCCCTTCCAGGCCCGGAGCCCACCGACCCGCCGGGGAGAGGCGCGCCGCGAGCGCCGGCTCCCCCCGGAAGAGCGGGCGACCGCATCCCGTGCTCTGCCTTCTTACCACCAGCCGCGCCGCACCGCGTCTTTCAACGGCACTGTAACGGTCACTTACTAACGGGTACTTTGAATGTTTGCCGAAAGTTGCCACTTTAGGGCCTTCTTCTTGCATTGCAGCTTTGCCCACATCGGGAAGGGTTGGGTTCGCTGGGTCACTGGCCAAAGTACCCGTTAGTGGAGTCCCCGTTTGAAGGGCGCTGAGTCTTCTCGGGCCGGGCGAGAGGGCAGGATACCGTCGAGGTTGATCGCAAGGTCGACCCTGCCAGGTCGAGGGTACCCTCGTGTCCTGACCTTCTGCGACCCATGCCTTCTTTCTATTCCCATGGCAGTGTGGCCCTCGGAAGGGTCTTGTGTCCTCTCGCGAGTCCTCGCCAAGCACCCCCGACTGCAGGGAAAGGGGGGGGGCGCACGAAATCTGCTGCATGCAGCTGGTCTCGGCCCCGTCGCCGGGCCGCCGGGCCCTCTCCTCAACACGGGGGCGCCTCCCGGTGCCACGAGGCGCGGGGAAGACCAGCTCTGATTGCGTGAGCCGATTCTCTGCCCTGCCCTTTGCCGTGAGGAGGGAGGAGGGAGGAGGGAGGAGGGAGGAGGAGGAGGAGGAGGAGGAGGAGGAGGAGGAGGAGGAGGAGGAGGAGGACCAGGAGGAGGAGGAGGAGGAGGAGCAGGAGGAGGAGGAGGACCCTTTCGCGCGCGCGAGCAGGGCCTCTCGGCCCCGCGCGTCCGCGGCCTGGCGCTGGCCGGGCGGCGGCCCCGCGCTGGATATAGGGTGGGCGTGGGAGCGGTGGCGTGCGCTCGGGCGCCGCCGGCCAGCTCAGCACACGCTCTCCCCCCCTCTAGGCATCGCTCCTCCCTCCTCCCTCCCTCCTCTCTCCTCCCTCCTCCCTCCTCCCTCCTCCTCTTCCTCCCTTCTCCTCCTTCTCCTCCTTCTCAACCTCCTCCTCCTCCCTCCTCCTTCTTCCTCCTCCTCCTCCTCGGACGTGTGCGTTTTTTTTCTCGGCGAGGAACATCGAGGAGCACCCTGGACCCTCGAGCTAGAAGAAAGCACGCACGAGACCGACGGACGCACGGGCAATGGACGTCCGAGCGACGGCGAGCCCCTGGGGATATACAGTGGAGGCCCACGCCAATAAGAAGCACCCTGCCTGCCTCCAGGGTGCCCTCCTGGGTTTCTTGGGTTTCGGTGGCATTGCTGTGGGCGTGACGTTCCCACACCAAAAGTCGACGGACGTCCTGGGGTCTCGGGGTTGGGTCTCCTGTGGAAGGTTTCTTGTGGACTGGCCTCGACCGTGGCGTGCGCCGAATCAGCGCTGACAAGGGGATGGCGTGCACAGAAGGGGCCCTTTTGCAGGGGGATCACCTCACAGGGATAGCGTGCCTTCGGAGAACCGATTTTCTACGCTGCCTTCGCAGTGCTGGCCACAAGAGGTGCCGCCGTCGCTGTGTGTGTTTCGGTCGAAAGCGATGCCCGCGGCGCCCCACGCGGGTGGCTTCCGGCGCTCCGTGCGTCGACGGGACGGCGACGCCCTCGGCGAAGCGCGTGCCGCTCGAGCCTGGCTGCGAGAAGCGGGCGTTCGAGGCGCTCCACGGCAGGCACGCCGGCTTCAGGGCCGGCGTGATCTCCCATCTGGACGCCCGAGATGGGCACGGAAAGAATGGGCACACTGCCCAACAGCAGTTCCTGTTCATTTTGCACAGGACTCGCTGTCCACGCCGCCGCGGCCTGTGTCCATTCGAGACAGGAGGCCGCCTGCCCAACAACGGCCGCTGTCGGTTCGGGACAACATTTGCTGTTGGGCATAGTACCCATTCTTTCCGTACCCATTTCGGGCGTCCAAACAGGAGCGGAGGCCCACGAGCGGCATTGCGGGGATGAAGTCTGCTGCATGCAGCTGGTTTCCGCCCCGCCGCCGGGCCCATTCCTCGAGACATGGGCGCCTCCCGGCGCCGGGAGGCGCCGAGAAAATCAGCTACGTGAGCTGATTCTGAACCCCCCCCTTTGCTCTCCCCCCCTTTCGCCCGACCCGAGCGGAGGCCCACGAGCGGCATTCCGGGGATGAAGTCTGCAGCGTGCGAGAAAACACCCGCCGCTGCAGCGGTTGTGCGGAATGTGGGCGCTGCCGCGTCGACGCGGCGGCGACCTCGAGCGGGGGCGCTCCGGTGGAGCGCTGCGGTTGGCCTGGAATCCGCCGCTCCCGACGAGGCGTGCGCTCGGGCTCCAGTTTCGAGCCGGGCGAAAGGGGGGGATTGAGAAAGGGGGGTTTTGAAATTTGCCGCACGCAGCCGGTTTCGGCCTCCCCGAGGGGCCCACTCCTCGATACATGAGCCGCCTCCGGCGCCGGGAGGCGCCGGGAAAATCAGCTATACGTGAGCTGATTCTCAAACCCCCCCCCTTTGCTATCCCCCCCTTTCGCCCGACCCGAGACGAGGCGTGCGCTCGGGCTCCAGTTGGCGGCGCGCAGAGGGGGGGGGGGGGAGGGGGGGAGGCTTCTATAGAAGCACCCCTGCTTCGTAGAAGGCGCGGTGCCTTGTCTGTAGATGTCATGCCGGCGCCTTCTAAGGAGCAGCTTCCTTCTAAGAAGCCTTCCCCCCCTCCCGCTACCCCCCTCCTTGCGCGCCGCCAATCCAGTGCGCACAGAAGCACGGAGATCGAGCGGCCCGCGGCAAAGAGCATCGGCCGCGGTGGGGCCGAGAGCTCGGGCGCGCGCCGCCTCGCCCAAGAGGCCCCGCGGGCAGAAGAGTAAGTGAGGTCGATTCGGGCGCGGCCGCCCCGGCCGCAACCATCTCTTGCCGGGTGGGGGGCCAGGTGGCTGCCGGAGAAGTCGGGGGCGGCAAAGAGGTGGGTGATGGCTAGGGGGGGGGGTGGATATCATGGCGGGGGCCATGATATTCCCCCGGATTTCATGGCGCCTCTTCTTGTTTCATGACGTCCCTGGCCCCGCCGCCGGGCCGCGCACATGCCGCCGGTCACGATTTGCACCCCCGCTCTTGGACACCCCCCTCTTGGCCGCTCCCGAAGAAGAACAGCGACGCTCTGGACTTCTCACGGCGCGGGGACCGCGCCCCTGGTCGCTGGACAGGGCGGCGCCCAGACGGGGCTTCTCGCGTCGAGGCCGCGCGGCGCCTCGAAGGGCCGCTGCGACAGGCGCCGGCGCCTTCCGTCGAGGAATAGCAAGCGGCCTATAAACACGAGCGTCCGGAGGTCCGCGCGGATTTTTTGGGGATCGGCGCCGGGACCGTCTGGCGGCGCTTCCGCGGTTCTCCGGCGCGCGCTCCGCGCGCCAGGCAGGGGGGCGTCCGGCGGCGCGAGCCCACGAACACAGCGCGGACCTCGTGCGCATTTTTGCTGCTCGCCCCCGGCGCTCTCGCGGCGCACGGGGCTGCCGCCCCCACTGGGCCACGGCGCTGCGCGACCGCAGCCTGCCGACGGCAACCCGCCCCCGAGCCGCCGATGGCCACGACGGCGCGCGCGGCCCTCAGGGTTCGGCCGGCGAGCGCTCGCAGGGCGGCCTCGCGGAGCGCCGGCCCCTCTGAGAGGGGAGCCGTGTGCCAACGTGCCGAGCTCCTGGCGCCGGCCGTCCCCCCAGGCCGCGGAGGCTGATCGGGAGCCTCGAGACGGGGGTCGATGCAAGCGGGGGTCAGCCAGGGCGCCCGATCTTGCAGGATCCTGCAGGGCCAGGGTCCCCTTGACCCCGGGTTTGGGTGCAGGATCTTGCAGGATCCTGCAGGATCCTTCGCGTTGACCCGGGTCTGGGTGCAGGATCTTGCAGGAGTTTGCAGGATCTTGCAGGCCTGACTGACCCGGGTCTGGATTGACCCGGGTCAGGAGATCCCCGAGCTGAGCCTCCGAGGGCTCCCAGGCAACGGCGGGCACACCCGTGCCCGCCAGGGGCTCTCCGTCCTGGGCGCTTCGGGCCCCGGAGTAGTAGGAGGAGGAGGAGGAGTAGTAGGAGGAGGGGGAGGAGGAGGAGGAAGAGGAGGAGGAGGAGGAGAAGGAGGAGGACGAGGACGAGAACGAGGACGAGGAGGAGGAGGAGGAGGAGGAGGAGGAGGAGGAGGAGGAGGGGGAGGAGGAGGAAGGGGCCCCAGGGGGCACCGGCCCAGCGGCAGAGGCGCAGTCGAGAGTGGTTGCTACGTCGGCCCTGCCGGATCAAGGGTACCCTCGTGGCCTGTGCTTCGCGACCCATGCCCTCGGCGTGCCCATGTCAACGTGGCCCTCGGGAGGGCCTCGTGCCCTCTCGCGTGCCCTCTCCGATCCACCTCGACTGCCGAGGCAGAGGAGCACACGCACGAGGCCGCGGAGCGCCCGAGGCACCCGGCGGCCTGGGGCCTCGCGCGGCGAGGGCGTCCTCAGGGTCGCCCAGGGGCACCCCTGCGTGGACCTGCGCCTCAAGAGCCAGGGCCGCCAGGGCGCCAGGGCGCTCGGCCTCGCGAAGCCGCGCGCGGCGCCCGGCCTCGCGCGCCGCGCGCCCGTGGGGGGGCCGCGCGCCGCTCGGCGCCGTCGCTCCTTGCGTACCGCACCTGCTGCAGGTTCGCGCTGCGCCAGCGCGGCGGCGACCCCGGCGCGGCGGCTCCAGGTTTAGCCCTTCCAGTGTCGACTGCACGTAAGAGTGGCCTTTCGCCGGAGTGACCTTTGGTGCGGGCCCAATGGGGTCCCCCGATCGCCGACCGCGATGCGGTAGTTGCGTCTCGCGCGCTCGTGCTTGGCTCCCTCGCGGCCCCCGAAGCTGCGCACCAAAGGTCACTCTTACCCAGGGTCACTCTACCGTCTAGCCGACAGTGGCCCCTTGTCGGTCGCCGATGCTGCCAGCCGCGATCGACCAGGGTGGAAAGGTGGTCGCGGTGCCAGAAGCCCGAGACCGGCGCCGACGTCGTCACGACACAGGCAGCCGCACTCGGCGTCCAGCCCTGCCCTCGGGCTGCGGAGGGAGACCATCGTGACCCCCTTGCCCACCATCTTGTGTCAAGCGGTCCCCACCCGAGAACGGGAGGACGGGAGGCGGCATGTCCAGGGAGCACCGGTCCCCTCGGGGCCTGACGGCCACGGCATGCCGCCGTCGTTCGTCGACGACGCGCAGCAGGGAGACTCGGGGCGTGCCAGGGCCCCCGGGGCCTCGCGACCGCGGTGCGCGGGGCATGCGAGGCGGGTCGGGAGCTCGTTCCTTTTCTTACCAGCCTCGAAGTTATCCCTATCCCTAAGATTGGCACGCCCAAAGGCGATGACAATCTTAGGGATGCGCCCCCAAGAAGGAAGTGAATCCCTAAGATTGGCATCGTGATGAGGAGATGCCCAGCCTAGGGATATGGATATCTTCCAGGCTGCTCCTTTTCACAGATCAACGCCACCTTGTCGGGGAGGTTTGGCTTCACGCCTCACGCCTGTCCGAACCTCCCGCCCCGCGGAGCGGATCGGCGCGCGCTCCGCTCGCGAGGCGCAGCGCGTCGTTGGGGCCGTCGCCGCGACCCGCTGAGCAAACGCTCCCGACCGCAGACGGTGCTGGTCCTGAAGTGAAAACCCCGGCGTCGTTCGATACATTCGGGGCGTTGACCTAAGGAACCCTAAATAAGGAACGAGGCCCCTTTTTGTCCATAAGTTAAACTTCGATTTCCTATCGAAAACACAAGGAAAACATGAGGCAAGCTGTGAAACATTTAAGGAACCTTCTGGTCCTGAACCTTAGTGGGCCCTGGAAACGACAGGGCCGTTTTTCTACCGGTTCCGTTTTGCCGTTTTCTTACCGGTTCCGACACCGTTTTTGTTACCGGTTCCGACGCCGTTTTTGTTACCGGTTCCGGCTCCGGTTCCAATCCTGGAGCCGTTTTCTTGCCGTTTCCGGTCGCCGTTTTTTTGCCGTTTCCATTTTCAAGGGACATTTCTTCTGAAACGGTGAAAAAACGGCCCTGCCGTTTCCGGGGCCCGCCCATCCCTGAGCTGAAAGCCCTTGCGTCGTTCGATAGTCGGCCCTCTCCGCAGTGAGAGGGCGGTGCTCTGCGACCGCGCAGGGCGCCACTGGATGGCCCGAGCAGCCGCCAGCCCCGTGTCGTCGCGCCGCGCGCAGGGCTCGCATCTGCCGAGATGCGTGCGTTCCTCCTCCTCCTCCTCCTCCTCCTCCTCCTCCTCCTCCTCCTCCTCCTCCTCCTCCTCCTCCTCCCCCTCCTCCTCCTCCTCCTCCTCCTCCTTCGGCTACACGTCAGAGTGACCCTTCCCGGGAGTGACATTTGGCGCGGGCCCGTTGGGGTCCCCCGATGGCCGAACACGAGGATGCGAAGGCAGCAGCTGGCGCGCTCGGGTGCGGCCCCCCCCCCCGCGCACCCCCAAGAGCCGCCCACCAAGGGTCACTCTCGCTCCTGCCTGGAGCCCCTCTTGCGTGAAGCCAGTCCTCCTCCCTCCCTCCCTCCCTCCCTCCCTCCCTCCCTCCCTCCCTCCTCCCTCCCTCCCTCCCTCCCTCCCTCCCTCCTTCTTTCGACGGTACCGTATTCCCAGATACCTGGCAAGGGCGATTTCTTCAATCGGCTCCTCTTTGGCCGTGGTTTTGCATGGACTCGGCCCACGGGGCCGGGTTTTTGCCAGGCTCGGGGGGAAGCCGAGCGTCTGATCTGGGGCGACGCCGACATCGGGGGGAGCGGTCGGGACCTCTGGGGCTCGGCCACGCGCAGAGGGCGGGGGGAGGTTAGTGTGACTCCGTCCCTGCCGTCGTGGATGTCGGGGGTCCCCCCCCCGCCTCCGTCCCCGGCCTTGCCCATCTGTCTGACCCATTGGGGCCCACCTCCTGTCCCTCCGTTCCTCCTGCCCCTCCCTCGTTCCCTCATAGGGCATGGAACTTCGCATCAGCCTCGCCGAGTCCAGAAGAAACCTCGCCCCCCCCCCCTCCTCATCCTCTCCCCTCCTGGCTCTCGTCCTCCCGCTTCCTCCTCCTCCTCCTCCACACTTTGTCGCGGCCGATCGGCCGAAATGGGGCGTTAGAATTTTCGAAATGTTGACGCCCATTTCGCTGCCGAATTTCAGCCACGTTCGCAGGACATCTCTCTCCAGGCCGCGTGGCCGACAAGAGTGGTAGCCACAAGGCCACGATCACTTACGCGTGGGCCCTGCACAGCTTTCACCTCTGAGCTGAGACGCTCCAGCAGCCAGCAACACCGGCGCGCTGCTTGAGGCCAGCTTGAATCCTCCCCTTCTCCTTCCCCCCTCCCCCTCGCCCTCCTTCCTCTTCCTACCCCCCCCCTGCCCTGCAAGTATACATCCCTGGCGAGGGCGGCCCCGAGCAACAGGTCTTCGTCCGGGGCCGCTCCTCCGACCACAAGACCGAGCTGGTGTCGCAGGGCGTGGCGCTGAGCGGCTTCCGGCGGCCCTGCAAGGCGTACCAGGCCGTGCGCCGTGGGCCGTTGCATTTGGTTTCGAAGACGACGGGGAGGGGGAGGAGGGGGAGGGGGAGGAGGAGGGGGAGGGGAAGGAGGGGGAGGGGGAGGGGGAGGAGGGAGGAGGAGGAGGAGGAGGAGGAGGAGGAGGAGGAGGAGGAGGAGGAGAGGAGGAGGAGGAGGAGGAGGAGGAGGAGGAGGAGGAGGAGGAGGAGAGGAG